AGCCGATCGAATCCGTGGCCGAGGCCCCGGGCTGGCCAAACATTCGACGACTCGTGTTTACACCGCAAGTATTTATGGGCCACGATCCGCCCACGAGGAGCGCGGTCTCGTTTTCGGAATTCGGAGCATCCCTGCGGAGAGATCGGATCGGATCGGATCGGGATCTCCACGCGTTTCTGACCCCCGCCGTTACTGGTCGACCGTCGACGGTATGTCTCGGCTTCCAGAACCCCGGGTGTACCGCGCTTCGAGAAACGACTGGTAGAAGAGGCAGGGACAAACGCGATATCGCGTGATATGATCGCGCGACAGGTGCTCGGCGAAGTTGAAAAGGCGACGGAATTACGCAGTAATTACATCGCTGCTAATTGAAGATCGATCGACGTCCCTCGGAACCGATCGAGGCGTAATTGGCCGTACGGAAAACTACCGAGTAAAAACGTCCGCGTGGAATCCTTTTTTTTTCTTTATTCCGTTGGGTAAATCATGAAATGGGACGGGACGTCCGGTTTTTTTTTTTTGCGAATCGTAAGTCATCAGTGTAAAAGCGGCAGTTTTGACAGAATAGAGAGCGGAAAGGGCGAGATCGGTCGATCGCGTTCCCGAGTAACGGCAATTTGGCTGATGGGAAAAACAGATGAGTTATGTAGGAGATGATAGTTCGAAGATGGATACACGCCCGCTTCCAACTATTTGACGCGCGTGTCGACGCGTTCGCTTACACGTATGTATTTAGGTGCATAGATACGCGGACAACGTGTTCACGGACGAAAAAGCCCGAGAAAAATGTTTATTTTCGCCCGGTAGCCACCTAGGACGGCAGTACAAAATTTCTAACGGCAAAGAAAACAAATCACTCCGAATTCGATCTGTATATTTTGTCGGGTTACACAAACATCACGAATCCGCGCGGCGGACGCCACGTTTTCCAACGGATAACGCACACGGAATTGTAAAATCCACAGTCCAGCGAAATTTTCAAATTACAGTTTAGTAAAGTAATGAACTCTTCGATATTTCCATTGACCATATTTAATGCTAAAAAAAAATCAACTGAAGCCCGTCACGTCTCAATGGGACAATATTTAATTATACTATCTCTGTTTGTGGAAAGAAACGATAAACGCCACGAAAGCTCAGTTTTAAATCAAAGGAATTTCCATTCTGCTTATCTAGAACATTTTTATAAAGATGAGTTCACCGAAATAGATATCAGATTACATTCTAATTTAAAGTGAAAATGTTACATGTTATATTCATGATCCTGGAATAAGACAGACAATATTTCCAAGTATTCAATAGACATAGGAAAAGATTTAAACGATCGATCGTCAAACACAAATCAGTAACCAAACTAGGTCGTTCTCGATTCCCTCAGCGATACCTTCGGCTAATTGATTTGTAAGCAATGCCTTAACGAGGCGCAGGATTCCAACGGGAGAGCAACGCCGGCGTACGTGTAGAGGATCTAAGCATGTACTATAATTGCAGGGTTTCGCGGCGGGACCGCGTTCGTGCAATTATCTCCGGTTCTCTTTCGCCGCGCGAAGATCTATGGGACAGTTGACGCGGACAAGGCGAAATACAATCGCGGAGCCGGGACGGTGCGGTGGCTCGCAGACCGGCAATTACACGCGATTCGCGTAATCGTAAAACGAAACGTTAAGCATGGAGCTCGCTGTTATTTCCTCGGGACGCGAAAACTGTTGCCGGGTAACGCGGCGTAAATCAACCGCCACCTAGAAGCCACGGGGAGGGAAACTCGTGTTGCCGGGTGCATTCTAATAATTGCGAATGTCCACAGTGGAAATAATTCACTCCTCTTTTCTTTCCGCCGCGGAACGGCCGATGGCTAGAAGATTCCACGGGTACCGATCCGCGTTTAACAATGCGAGGCGGCCAAGTCACAATTCTTACACGCTATTGTAGCCGGCTGTAAAAACGCGAAACAAGTGTGCTTCGCGAGGGGCATGAAACGTTTAACTAAAATACATTATAGCTTCATTAGCTACAGTTTAATGAAACGTTTGGTACTTAGGAGTCTATGTGGAAGCACGAAGATTTTCTTAAGCGAAATTCACGAACTATCAGTTCTCCGACTCGCATGAGACAGTTGGTTCGGTCGCATCGAAGCGTGAAGAGGGTCGGCGGTCAAGATAGAAGCGGCGTTACGACATCGGTCACACAGGTGCGGTATGGATGCGCCATTGGCTACCCCCGAAGAAGGTGGCCGAGGCGAAAGAGTAGCTACAAAGAAGCTCGACGTCAAGAAGTATAACGCGACCGCGGACGAGGGGGACAGCCGTGCTCCAGCGTGAACCAACGGTTGGAGGGGAGGCAAAAGCGAAAAAGAAGTGGGAAAGAAAAAAAAAAAATAGAAACGGCAAGAAGTCGAGGACGCGCGACGCCGCGAAGAAGGAGGTGAGCGAGCGAGCGGAAGAGAAGCTATCCGCGATGTGAAAAGACCGAGAACACCGGTGCTCCGCCCCAGGTAGACGAGAAACATGGCCGCTGAGGGACGGATTGGCGGAGACCAGCTACGATACCGACGTCGTCGTGACGCCCGCGCTTCACTCAGCTCGCCTCAAACTCAACAGTCTTTGCTCCCATCGGACCCTACGGCACTCCTCCGCTTGAACCGTCGACGCCCACCCTACGCTGCTCTCCCCTCAGCTTTCCTCTCTCCCACCCCTTTTATTTTATACTGCACCTATGACTCGCTCTCTCTCTGTTCATCTTCTTCTACCTCTCCTTTCGACGTTCTCGCCGTCTCCCTTCTCTCTTCATCTTCGCGAAGCATCGTTCAATTTGTCCATCTCGCTCCACCGGGGATCTCCTTCGTCGTCAGCACCCCTTTTGATCACCCACGCTTCACGACACACGTACAGGGTGCACTTGTGCACACAAACCACACGCGCGAATACCAGAGTCGATCGTCGTGAACTCGCCGATGACACGGTTAATTGAGCTTGCATGAAGGAAAGTCCGCGGAACAAGGTTGCAAAACGTCAAGCAAGGACGTCGCATCGAGTTTTTACGTCGGCTCCTCTTTGCTCCCGCGGGACTCGTAAGATACCGAGCAACGATAACCGTGAGATCGCGAACCTGGCTCATTACCTTGCACGTTAAAGGGAGTCGATCGGTCGCATACGAACGTTGCTGAGGGGCAATAATTTTTGAACAGGTTCCCTCGACCTTTTGATACAAATGATAATTGGCCGACTGGCAATTATCAAACTCCGAGGATCCCGGGCAACCGAGTAAGTACGTATCGCAACTGGCGATCGTTGTTGCCTCGGGAGATATGTAGTCGCAATTGCATTCCCTCGTAATTGGTTACCGTTTGTTTTTAATCGCGCCGCGACAAGTTTAAACGCGTCACGCGCAATGGATGCAAATGTACCGGGTAACGATATCGATATGCAAGCTCTCTTCCCGCCCTGTTATGTAACTTTATTTATTGAGCGCCGTTGACGATACGTTTTAATACTTCTTAACGAAGCTTCGTAGTTCACCGCTGCAAATAGATTTCTACCTGATAATGCGAGAATCGTCGCGATACTACATATGTACAAAAGTCGTTAACGACAAGTAAATACAAAAGATAATTTCTCTTCGATAGAGAGATAATTAATGAACGATGTTCAAGTGTCTTCGTCTATATGCCCATTATGTATAAAGACATAGAGATATTTTTATACGAATACATACCTCATCGTACGTTCGGAGTCTATTGTGTATAGATATTCATAAAACTAAAATGATTGACACAGCTGATGCAGCGATTCGTTCCGCTGTTCGATCGCGCGAAGTAACAAAACGCACGCATAATAATTCATCACTTTCAGCGACAAGATGGCAAGTGGGAAGGAAGGCTATACGGTTTCCTAAAGTTCTACGAAAGTTTAATGTAATTGCAACTAGGAAACGTTGATTGTTATGGCGTTAGTTAATGGGCTGTGATGATAAATGCCCGCGAAACCTAAAGCTATATTCCTGAAGCGACAGTATATTGCAAAGGAGCTACCTGTTGATGCGTACATACCCTCTAACCCTCTAGTCCCCTCGCTCTCTTATACATAGACATGTACTTACATAGTGTATACGTGGTGGAACGTCATTGCCTTCCTTGGTTAAAATGTGTCCTCGAATCAAACACAATATAACAATAAACACTGCAACTAATTGTAATTCACTTTCACATAATTTTATTATTTAAATTACACTGCCCTAGGATGTTACATAACTGCGAATAAGTTAACAAACTAGTGAGGGCGCAGCACCTCTCACGAGAATATGTAGCGCCATCTTTAGCTACTACGGTAAAACAAATGGCTACCTAACAGGGTTATCTGCTAATAAGCAATTTCTACATACGCAAAACAAATTCATGATCTATCGATTTCAAAATTTATGTAAAAGTAAAAATTAATGTTCTTAATAGTTAAGTCCGTCACCTATTATACATGTAAATATCTAAATAGATAACCATATATATAAGAATGACAGCGCTAGACACTATCTAGTCGCCGATTCAAAATTTCAAGACAATTTTCTTTTCTCTAACTGACTTATTTCTTTTGTATTAACAAGTAATAAATAAGTGAACTAAGAATGAAGAGATGTTCTTAAAATTTAGAAAATAGCACGCAAAAACAGTTAATTCTAATACAGATATATGTATATGTTTAGATATTCTTTTATCATTGCAATATCTTACCTGATGACTTCTGCGAGAGAATTACACAGGTCACAATGAACATTCGTTTAATTGAATATTATTCTCTTGATTACACGGGGTTATAAAGGGCGCACAACAGAACACTCATTTGAACGAGAAATGTTACCTAACATAGACTGATCCGTTAGGGTTTATTCGGCCTCCACTAGACTTGTAACGTTGCAACGCGTGAGAGTTTGTGAATCGGACATAAAAGCGTTTGCTACCTAGCGGGACGTTGCACAACTAAAATCAGCTGACCCTGTCTTCCAGCGTCAAATGCGTATTTATAAATAGTGTGGCGTACGAACCAGCGTACGAGTTCGTTGTGTACTGAAGATAATCTTCAGTCAGCCGAACGTGAAAATGGTTGATATGAAAAGTAACGTGAGTTTTGCATGCCAGAGATGTCTACAACCTCTCAAATTAGATCCGAGCTTTTATCATCTCGGGGAACACACGCTAGCAGAACTTTCACGTAGGTAATTTCTATTCCGAACTATATGATTTTGCAACGAATCTCGTTACATGTACATTTCTTCCACCTGCAAACTCCGATAATATTTCTCTGTACCTCTTAACATCTGTGAAACGTCGTATCTGTACATTTGCGATTTCATGTACGCACGATGCATCTTTTATTTACGCTGTATCAAGTACACGATTATTGGCAGTCTATTTATATCTTAAAAATCGCTACATTCATATTTCTCGAAAATTATCTAACGACTAGAACTCAGATTATTTGGAACAACGTAGTATAGTGTAAATAATTGTTTATATTAGTACCCATCCAACAACAAGTGGTAGGTGAAATAGAGCCTCAAAGTGGTAGCATGGAACATTTGGTGCCACCATTTAAATTGACTGAATCTGCAAATGGAACGAATGGATTCATGCTAGTTGGAGATTCAGGGGAAACAGAAAGCCTCAGCCATCACTTGAAGGTACTCAAACTTTCCACTGTTAGTTGACAATTAATATTGATCTTCATTGTTTCATTTAAGGTACGAGCGACATTGTTTGATATTCTTAGTAGCAGTAGTTCTGCCGATCATCCATTGTGTGATGAGTGCACAGATAGTCTTTTATTGTTAATGGATCAACAATTAAGAATGACTGAAGGGGAGTGGTCAGATTATAATGAATACCTAAAGAAATTAGAAATGGAACAGCAACAACAGGGTAATGAAGATGTAGAAATGGAAAGTCTCGCTAAAGAATTGCAAGATGTGAAATCAGAAGAAGAAAGAATGATAAGGGAACTAGAGGCACTGAGGAAAGAAGAAATAGCAACTAGAAATGCTATAGCTCAACAAGAGAAGGAACGGGAAAGGCTACAAAGCGAGGAAGAACGGTATTGGAAGGAATATTCAAAACATAAAAGAGAACTCATATTAGCTGAAGATGAATATCGTAGGTAATAGTGAAATCTTATTTCTTTAAACCCGGCTCTTATTCACTTCGTCCTTCTTAAAGTCGGCAATTTATTCTAGCTTGGAGTGTCAGTTATCTTATGCTGCTTCACAACTGGAGAGACTGAAGAAAACAAACGTATTCAATGCTACGTTTCACATTTGGCATTCAGGACATTTTGGAACTATAAATTCGTTCCGGTTAGGCAGACTGCCGAGTGCGCCAGTTGACTGGAGCGAAATCAATGCCGCTTGGGGGCAAACTACACTGCTATTGACAGCTCTCGCCAGAAAAATGAATTTGACGTTTAAACGCTTTCGTCTAGTGCCATTCGGTAATCACAGTTATATCGAAGCGTTAGACCAGCATAGAGAGCTTCCCCTGTATGGTAGCGGAGGATTTAAATTCTTGTGGGATACGAAGTTTGACGCGGCGATGGTAGCTTTCCTAGACTGTTTGCAACAATTCAAGGAACAAGTGGAGAAAGGAGACAGTGGATTCTGTCTCCCATACAGAATGGATCGTGGGAAGATAGAAGATTCTGCAACAGGCAATTCTTATTCAATCAAGTACGGATCATTATTACTACAGATTATTCTCTATTAGTCAAACGTAATTTTTGTTAATATCTACTCATTTCTTTTCAGAATACAATTTAATTCGGAAGAACAGTGGACCAAAGCACTGAAATTTCTGCTGACTAATCTAAAATGGGGTCTCGCTTGGGTCAGTTCCCAATTCACAAAAGACGAGGCTGAACATTGACTCGAATTTAATTTATGCCAATTCATCCAGTCTTAATCATACACCCTCTTTTGCATTCTCTTATGTACATATACGTTATTTGTAAATAAACTCAGGTAAAGGAAAATCCTTTTATTTAGATTATGACCAGAAATAAGTAGTTTCACCAATTTTGGATAAGTATTCGATTTTAAGTTAGTGAACAGTGTTCAGGTTTGTTAAGTAGAAACCAGGTAATACCGTACAATAAGCTCGGAGGGCTTTGGACTTCTTCAGAATTGATGTACTCTTTCACTTCTGGGATGCTCAATTCTACCACTTCGATCAGTTCCCCTTCAGACGCAGCACCCCCTCCTTTAATTTGATTAATAACGTATATTTAAAAATAAGAGAAAGAACTTTGTTTTAAAAACAATTTATTCATTATAAATTTCTTTATCGTGTGAATCATTATCAATATATAATGTATGTAAAACATTATCTTTAAGGAGCAGTGAGATATCAAATTATATTTGTAATCAAGCTTACCAGGATGTGTGTGCATTTCATCTGTGACTTCCGCATAGTAAAGTGTGTGTTTGGAGACAGAAGTAGAAACATTCCTACAATCAACCCACAGCCGAATAAGTAAAACGATACATGACACTATGAACACAGTAAGTGAATTTATTTAATTACACATGACATCTTACATGAGGACAGAACAGAAAAATACATGCAATTTTCAAAAGACGGTAACACAATGATACATGTGTACTTATATGCAAACGACACTAAGACGGATCACTTATATCTTTTTTTAGAAAATACCACAAGAGACAAAACATCGACATTCAGTTTCAATAAGAACTTAGTAAGCATCGTTAGAATTAATTAGAATGAATTTAAATATACGCTTTGTCATTTGACACACCTGAAAGTAATGATATATTTAAAGGCCTCCGATGGTGCTTCGTATCCACATTCTTCTCTTACTTCATCCCTCGCAATCTCGACGAGAGATTTATCTTTGTCCACGATACCGGCGCATAGTTCTAGGGTTACACCTAGTGTCGGTGGATACTGTTGAAGGTCAACTGGGCCACGTTTCTCCGGGACAAACGTATAGAAGAAAGCCGGACGGAATTGTCGAACGAACACCAGCTTCTTTCGTGTGGTGTTGAAAATGATTATGCTCACAGCGTCGTGCGCCCTTACCATGTCCCAATCCTTGCGCTCGCCATCTTGTTGGTAATGCATCCGAACGGGCCTGAGCCATGGTGAGTCCGACGGACATTCTACAACACGTATTTGCTGCACGTCAAGTATTCTCTTCCGTATAATCTCATTCTGCTTTTCTTGTTCTTTGTCATCCATTTTTCGAGCGTAGCAAAGATGTACTGACGTATACTGATATTCGTTTCGATTGTTTAACTCCTGTTGGTAACGTTCTGACAAACATGCGCAGCGAACACCTCCAGATGCCGTACTATACATCAAGTTGGAACGCGCAATCTCGAACGGCATCACATTTAAATATAAGTGTAAATAAGTCTTCTTTATCTGTTAGATAAGGCAATGAAAAAGTTCTGATAAGACTTCAGCATTTCCTCGTGACATTTCTTCAAAATTTCCATCTGTTTCGTAATTGGATCTATTTCTTGATCGAGACTTTCGATGTGTTTTTCTTCTTCTCGCTTCCAATTCTTTCTCTCCTACCGGGTCTCCTGCTCTTCTTCTTAAGTTCCTCCGCTTTGTAAGTATCTATGATCTCCTGTTGACGCACTTGGGTGTCGACGTGGACGACGTCAGGCTTCTTACGATACCTGCTGACCGCCGCCGGTGGAGAGAATTCGATCTCCATGTCGGACGCCGTCGAGCTAGACGCGGTCGAACCGTCGTCCTTATTCTTCACGATCTTGAATTGGAGTGGTTTCATCGGTTCAGCTAAACTAGGCTCGCCGCTCGTTTCCTGCCTGATAGGATACATGGTCACATAATAAGTACCGTCCTTTCTGTGAATATGCAGAGTCGGCGGTGGCTCCGGTCCTTCCTCTTCGCCTTCCATTTGAGATTGTTTCTGCATGGATTGGAAGCTCATGGTTCTACCAGTCCTCTGTCTCCTCGAGGTAGTCTTCAGCGGTCGCGGTGGTGCAGATCTCGCGCGTTCGAGTATCTTTATCCTCTCCTTCCTTGCACGGTCCATTTTCACGCGACCCTTTCTGTCGGTCGTGTCGTAATCAGGCTCCTCCATGGCGAACGAATTCTCTTTCGCGTCTTGCAGCATCTCGTACAGATAACGACCAATAGCACCCGGCCTCCAACCGATTCGCGGTTTCAATTTCCCCGCCGTGGTTGTGGTGGTCCATAACCAACCCATATTAGCCGGGACCCTCATACGCATCTCGATGCAGTTCCTGTGCCCGTAATTAGTGCCAGGGTAATAATCACCGACGAAATAGACGTACTTCATTACCCGCCTGCTGACCGGAATCGTCGGAGCGTGCGCGGATTGCATGACGAAACTGCGATCGCCACCGGGTCCTAATTGTTTTTTCGGTATGGTCTTACCGTAATCATGCGCGCTCACCATTTTAAGATCTCGCTGGAGCGGCTGACTAACGGCGGAGTGATTGCTCGGCATACCGCGAGCGGCCTTCGGGCTGCGTTTCTTCGGATGGATTTTAGGCGCTTTTTTCGGTTTTCGAAGAGCCTTCCTAGCATTGATTCGCCTGCCGCCGATCCGAGTCTTCGAGGAGACGTGAGTGGCACTCTGGGTCACGCTGCCGTCGTCCGTAGCTTTTCTTCGCCTCGATTTGCATCTCGGTTCACCGCAAGGACCCATCTCGGACTCCATCGCGGACGCCGTGGGGTCCAACTCCTTCTTGTCCGTTTTCTCGTCCTTCTTCTCTTCTTTCTTCCTATGCTTCGGGGACGTGATCGTTGAACCCACCTCCGGCAATACGGGTATAGCCTCGCGGACGATTCCCAGCCGCGGTGGCACGGTTACACCCCGGGGAACTGGAGGTGCGTAAGGCGAGACAGGAGGGCGGATATCGTCGACAGGTTTGTTCATTATACTGCAAGGAGCAGTGCAAGTGGGAGCCGATACTGTTGGTGCTTGCGCCATTCCAGTTGCCTTCTTTCTTTCCACCGGTCGTTCCTGGGGCACATAATCCTTGTCTACGTCTCTACCGAAGTACGGGCTCTCCGATGGATCCATTAAACCGAGTCCTGGCAGACCTGGCACTTTCCCAATCGAGTCTACAAACTCCTGCGCTTCTTTGAACGCTCGGATTAGACAGTCTATGCCCATGCATGGTGACTTCATGCACTTAGCGGCACCACGGGGCCACTTCGGGTCCTTTCCGGGACAAATGCAACCGGGCGTCGCTCCTGTGGACATCACGCGTGGTTCGCACGCGTCGAAAACAGCTACCACGTCGTGGCCTTCCTTGGACGGTGACACCCGCGGTGGGACCAAAACCGGGCTACCGGAACAACTGCAACTTTCTTCACCGCCACCTTCCAATCGATTCTCTTCTCCAGGATTAAAGTTATAGTTGTCTTCGTACCTCGTAGGTTTATATTTCTCTTCGTACCAAGTATGATCAGTGTCGTAGTCGGACCACCTCAAGCAAGACGGATCCACGTAAATCTGCTCTATGTCTCCACCTCCCCTCATTCTCTTCGGATTGTTGCAGTTGGTTAGGGAGTCGTGCTGTTTCAGAGCGTACAATGCTGACAGAGTATTGTTCACACAATAGGTGTTCGCTAATATATCGTCGACGTGTCTCTCATCTTTCGTCAATATCATCGGATTTCTTAAATTCATGCAACAGTGGTTGGTACAGCCCGAGCGACATTCCATAGGGTGTCCACTTCGGTTCGTGGGCATACAGGTGCAAGTCGGCTCATCAGGGTAGGCCGAATAGACCAGCTCACGATATTTAGGATAGTTCAGCTTCTCAGCGGTGGTCAACGTCTTGAAAGCAGGATCGTCCATGGAAATACGCGGTGGAGAATCCGGCCTCTTCAGCATCGGTTTATCATCCTCCTTCGAGCCCTCCGTGTCCATTTCCCTGTTTGGACACATATAAGAACACAGAAGCTTCTGAAGTGGCGAATCTTCCAACATGAAGGACTTTCCACTCAGAGAGAACTGTTTGATGATGGAACTGCCGAAACATGATAATCTCAGCATCACGGTTACGGTACCGCTTACGTTCCCTTGATGATCCGTCAGTTCGTACGTGTCCTTCACTGTGCACGCCGTCGACAAGCCATCGGTTTTATTTTGCGTCGCAGCTACGTGGTTGCACATGCACGTAGGCAAAGTGACCCTCACTGTACCGAAAAAATTTTTCTTCGTGCAACTGGCGTTCTTACGATACAGTTCTATGTACATCGGAGACCATCTTATGGCTTTGATCAAGCAACTGGGCGTCTTCGCGAATATACACGATTTCCGGGATTTTGAATCGTTCGAGCCATCGGACGGCTTCGGATCCTGATCACAGTTCTCTGTATTCTCCGAAATGTGAATCTCGTAATCCGGCAGATCAGCGAATCTCACCGAAACTAGTAAATCTTCGATGTTGACGTCTGAGTTTTCTATTTCCGTATTTAATTTCACCTGATCGACGATCACCTCTAACATGTAAAGCTGCTCGCCCTTCGATTTGGGGGACTTCTTTTTCAGAGCCATTTTACGTTTTGTCCTGTCCGATGGTCAGCTTCACGGGAATTTAGAGAACCGCGAACTCGCGAGGGATTCAAAGGAAACTAGCCGAATCGCGCCATTAATTTTGTCGTCGTTTTTTTATTAGCCAATAAATTTATGAACCTAACCACGCCAAGGCTTTCGATCGGTCAATTTTTCCGTCTGATATACGTGATCACCATGGCAACCGATGCGACCGGAAATCAATTACTTTTCATACCGGGTGATTATACATATTATACTTCATCACTTTTTCTTACCACCTTTTTTACCGCCTTTCTTATCACCCTTACCCTTCTTTCCCTTCTTACCTCTTCTACCTTTTTTCTCCTCCTTCAATTTTCCTTTCAGCTCGTCCAGCGTCGTTCTGTCCGGATATGCGGAGATATCTATGTCCGGCTCACCCGGACGATACGCTGGTGGTATCAACCGTCTCACACAGTATTCTCTCTCCTGACCATTGTTCCTGAATGCGAAAAACTTTGGGTGCATCTCGTAATGAGTCATGATCGATCTCCCGAAGCAGAGCAGACGCATTTCCATTTCTAACGTTCCCGAAGGATTTTCACCAGGGTCAATCAGGTTGAAACTGCCCTTCACCATGAACGGTTTCGGCAAATTCTCAGGATCGTTCTGAGCCATCGCTACCTGATCGCAAAGGCAACCGGGCAGTGTGATCTCGGTCTCGGCGATGGGATACGTGTCGCCGACGCGGAACACTCCGACCTTTATCATCGTTGACTGTAACTCTTTCACCAGATCTTTCGGTTGCTTTATGAACAGGCAACTTCTACCGATCATGAAGTGAAAAGTGCCTTCCTCGGTGGGCGGCGGCGGTTTCAACGAGTAGAAATCCTCGCGCGTGATCTTGAACACGGGGAAGTCGAGAAATTTTATTTTAATCGCGATCGGGAAATCGCCGATGTCTTTGATCTTGCTCTTGGTCAGCGTCAACTTGTGAATAAGCATCTCGACCATGTAGATCTGCTCGTCGCGGCCACCGAAGCAAGACATCTTGGTATAGGTTCAAGTTGATCGATGTGAGAGAAAAATCACGAAAGGGGTAGCACGTTGTTTTATATATGATACTTTCTGACGCGGAGAATTTTGAGAGGTTCGAAACGTAAATGAATGAGAATGACAGATCGAGTGTGTGACAATCGAATCGCGTGATTGACAAATTTGTTCATTTAAGGATGTATAGGCTATACACTTAAACAATGCTGGCATAGATTCCTATTACTATTAAAAAGCTACCTGCAAAATTTTAAATCAATTCATGGATTTTTTGAAAAATTATAGTGACTTCAAATTTGCATGTACTCTTATTACAAAGAAAACTTTCTGGTATTTGGNAATATCAAAATTAGAAGAAGAATGCACTATTTTTAATTATAGGAAATGCGAATGCGGTTTTCTAAGGTACATGAACTTTTGGGATTGACTGTATAGCCAATACATCCTTAAATGCGCACAAATACAATTTCCTTGTAAGTCAAACGGTTTAGAAGTATTTGAGGGTAAATGAAATTTTTGTAAATGGTTTGCTGTTTCGACAGGAGGAATGGCTGGATTTTGTCAATGCCAATACAATGCCGGTTAATGATACTTAACTGGTTAAATACTGAAGTTAGAAGAAACCTTTCCGTACAGTTTATGGTAAATTTCAAACTTTCGTTATCGTGGAGTTAATATTCAGGTAAATTGATCCCGATAATAAAATTTCCTCAAGGTAGAGCTTAAGCATTTTAAATATGAATACCAATGACACCGAACCTGTGTATATCTTCTTGTACGTAGGTCCGGTGTCGATAGGTATCCCATCATCAATCTATTGATAAAAATCGCAGAGGTAGAGTCACGTATATCCCATCCAGTGTACGCGACCGTGCAGCGTCTCTAATTCCATTGGCAGTTATTACTTAGCTCCCACAGTGGTATATACTTAATCTTCGCGCCGCGAAGCGGCCCCGCCAGAACCGTTACGAAAATCTGAAGGAAAGCCTCGTCGCAAATCCGTCCCTTTTTCCGCTATCCGCGTGATAATCCCGCTACTCGGTGTCGTCGAGACCATACTGAAAACGCATAATCCCAGGTGCATAACCTTATCCCTTCAGGGTTCGATCCTTTCTCCCCGAGCGAAACCCGTGTCGAATCGCCTGCCTATTCGCAGACGTTATTATCCGCGTTACAGCCTCCAGTTATAGAAAATACGATATTTCGTTGCTGATCGAGTGGTTCACGGGTCGCCTGCGAAGAGAAACCGCCGAAACGAAGCGTGAAATGGTGACCTTGGAACTATTCGTCCCAATCCGTGATTTCTGTTTCACTCAAGCGTCTCGGGCCACCGAAAGCGACCGACAGGGTCCAAACGCTGGCCCGGCCGAACACCGAGGGCCCAAGTATGCGCTAATTGGTACGGGCGCGCGCACGCACACACGCCAAAGAGCCGGGACAGTCGGAAAGGGGCGACCCAGACGAATGGAAGAGGTACAAGTAGAGAAGAAGGCTTGTGAAGCGAGACCGGAGAGAGAAGAGATATCCGTGAACGTTGCGGTTCGAAGGAAGCCGACGCGACGCGATCGGGTAGAAGTAAAATTCCGGGGCCCGGGCGACACGGCGGCTCGTTAAAATGCTTCTGGGGGTTTCGGGCGCGGGACGCTCCAGGTAATTGGCGATTAGCGATTAAAACGAACAAACGTCTCTCTCTCTCCCTCTCTCTTTCTGTCTTCCTGGGAAGGGTGGCATACTCTCCGCGTTTCTTCTCCTCTCATTCTACTCTTTTATTCACCGTCCATTCGACCGTACCGAACATTCGTATAAAGCGACTTTTATCGACTAGAAGGAGAGACACACAGGTCCTCGTGTAGATTGGCCGATTTTATCGTCTACCTGGCAAACGATGACACTCGGACCGACCCGTTTTTGAAGCTTCTTTACTCCGGTCGCGAGACCACGGGAATGGCGTCCTTAATCGTGCGACTCGGGCAACGATGATCACTTTCCGGACGGGATTCGGTGCCGTTTCTTGCCCCGATTCGCTTGGGAATCCGAGCGGTCCACGATTCGCGGCACTGTTACCGGCATCCGGATGACCGGAAATAAATACCAAACCGAGTAGACACTAATTTGATCGTATTTAGCTCCGAAAGGCCTCGTTAAACCGAAAAATCGACGCGCGATACTTTCGTCCTTTTAATTGCCCCTTAAGATTGCGGTTATTAATTTTCATGTCGCTTTTTAGAACGGTATTAAAATTCTTATAGATATTGACTCTCCTTTTACAAGAAGTTTATTTCGGTATCAAGGAGGTAGATAAAGAACATTAAATTTGCTTCAGGGTAAAAAATGATGGCAAGTTAATATCAATGTACTAAATTATTATATAAGATAATTTACGAAAAATCGAGTACAAAAGAGTATATACGTAATGTTTATCAAGAAGCTATTTATAGAAGAAGACGAGATCATCAAGCATGATATCATTAGAACGTACTATATTTATGCAGAGTAATTAAATTCGCATTTCTTAGCGTAGACTGGATAGAGAAATTATATAGGACCCTTGTCCTTGATACGGTATTAACTCCCGTTAAATCGTGGACGCGCACGCCCGCTATTTATCCAAGATCCCCGCGGGATCGCTTTTGTTCGCGGGTCGGTATCGACGATCGGAATTATATGGCGAGAACACCGAGTCTCGGAGTGAAATTAAATGCCGCGCGGCCGTTTAAGGCTCGACCATTGTGATTGATCATTTTTACCACGGTAGCACGGCCCCGATGCCGCGGCGGCTAAGTTAATTTGCCTTCCCGGCGATAACCGTTATTTCGGTATTGCTCGAAAGTGGTTACCCTTGTCCCGACGTCCGGTATCGGGATTAGTCATCGTGCTAATCCGTGATGAGCGTTTACACGCGAACCAGCCGACGTTATCCTTGAGAACATCGTTTTCTGACCCCAATATTCTAACAAAGTTTTCTATTCAAACGAGATTATTCGTATGATCAACAAGTAACGAGTACATTCAATAGATAATGAACTACACGATTATGGAAAATTGTCAATGTCCTTATACAGAGGTTTTACAATTACTTATGTAAATGAGATACTTATACATGGACGTTTCGCTTAATTGTATTTTTTTCTACAACGATAAAGAGGCTATTAATTTAAGGTCTCTCAATGGAGCCCTTGCTACGACCGAAGATAGCTGTTTCATCGTTGAAGCATTCATCCTTCGATCAAACCGTTTCTTTCTAAACGCTTGTTGCTCGCATCCACGTAAATTGATTTCACGAACATCCAGAGGGACGCGTGGCCTCGAGGAGCTTGCCTCGGTGAAACCTTGATAGTGCAGCAGTCCCACGACATTATTTCCTGCGGTGCCTCCTCGTTTCCAGTTGTTCTCCGGTGCCCGCGACGCGCTCGTTGGTTCTACGTACTTGTTACAGTGCTCGCCGCGGAACACTGTTTCCGACCGGCGGCGGGTTCATTGGCAATTTGAATAATTCCCCGCGAGAGGAACGGTTTCTCATCTCGAATTCGCCTAACGTCCGATGTTTTTGTTGCACCGACTGGCTCCGCTCGCTATTTACCCCGGAATGCGAGCAGCTTCTGCCTCGCGATACTTTGTAAATGTTCCATTCCCACGGGGAAAGTCCGCGAGCTGTTCTTCGATCTCCGTTTTCACGTAAATCATCGCGATCTGCCGTTCATTAAGCTTCACCGCTCTTTAATATCGCGTCGGTAATTACACATGTTACAAAACCGAGTCTGTTCAGCAGAAATCAAAACTTTATACAAAAATGAAATAATACATTAACGTCGATTGAATAAATAGTGAACAGCTGAACTGAACAGAAATAGGAGAATGAACGTAGACTATCGAACTATACGTATCTGTCTGGTGATCGGAGCACAGCGTGCAAATCTCTCTCTCTATCTCTCTCTCTTTCTCTGAGGTAGTCTGGGTTGATCCGGTGCACCCATCCTCAGTGTGAAGAGTCGGGGTTCACGAGACCGGGAACCCTCGTCTCCGATTTTCGATGATCTAGATCTGGGTAGCACCAGGAAGCCGCAGGACCGAAGGCAAAATTACCGGTGCCAGTGGAAGGAAGGAGACCTCGTTCCTCGCTCGGCTCGTGAGGTCAGAGGGCGATAGCGGTACCTTCTTCAGAGAGCCGAGGAAGGCCTCATCCTCCTCGTCCTACTATTTATCGTGCTAGTGTGCACTGCACGCTCCAGTACGAATGTTCTCCCCGAGCGTGCGCTCGTGCACACAAGCATCTAAGGGCACACACGCTCGCACACGTATCTAGCACGTACGTACCCGGTTCGTAGAGGCAGAGGTTCGTGCAGCGAATACTTAAGGATGGCCAGCGGCGAGCCAACTGCTCTCCAACAGGGAATGCGAGAGGGACGGTAGACGCAGCGCCGGTCGGACGAGGAAGAATCAACCAGGAGGATATTAGAAGGCACTCTCCCGCGGCGCTAGACGAAATTTGTCAAACAACCCGGCGGGCCCCAATTTGTTCTGCTGCGTGTCTTTACCACGATGAAAGAGCCGTAGGTGGTATCCACTCCGAGATATCCATTCTCCGTACGATCGGTGCGTAGTCGCTGTCATTGCTACTATAAACGGCCTGATTAGCTTATTAGAACCTGAAGAGTTAATACCGATACGTTTCGAACGATCGCTATCTTTATTCATCGGTGATTTAAAGTCGAAAGATGACGCTAGACTATGAAGTAATTCATTCTTATCATAATTGTTTAATCGCGAATGACTCGAATATCTAGCGGCATACGAGCGAGCGTAATTGGCGGCGAATATAACGTTAACGGGCGTGGAATCCGGCATCGTACAGGGGCACGCACCGAGGGCGTTATTTCAATTTGCATGGTGGTGGGTAATCGCGTTCCCAGAACTAATTTAGCCCTATCGGGCCGGGAACGCGGCCCATAATCGCGGGCCCAGATAACATTGCAGATGATTATCGGACGTCGCGATTT